CTGTTAGGACTAATGAATTGTTAGGTAATAATTTTGCCCTTGTACCTAGCTGAAAGGGAGGTGTCAGCAGCGGGAAAATGCATATTTGCAAAAACACCCTAGAGCTACTTAGTCATGATGGACCAAATTCAAGTCTCACTATAAGATCTAATGAATTAAAAAATTGGTGGATATCTGCATGAAATTTTTTTTTAGAAGCTCCTGCTACACCTATAGCTCTGGCTTGCATACTTGTACCCACTGGCACTTACTCTGATACATTCAAATTGTCTTCAGAGAAGTGCAATTTAAATAATGTATCAGTGTTTAATGTGCCTAAAAGAAATTTTAAAAAATCTTATCCAGGTTTAATTACTTTCTTGAATTGGGATTATAGAATTTTTGGCTCAACAAAACCAAACTAGAGAAGGCTGCCTTGCTTTCATTCTGCAAAAACTTTGTCTTTGAAGGTTGATTTTATTGCTTTTACTCAAGTACACGAACACTGGGCCAAAAGCACGTACCCTTACAATATCTCCAAAATGTGTGTGGGAAAAGGGAGACAAGATGAAAGAGTGAGGTAAACCTCTGTCATCAAGATTTCTTTGAACTGAGTTAAAATCCAAAACTGGGGAAAAAAAATGTCCTCTGGATTCAAGTCAACCACACAGGCCAAATGTCCAGAGAAGTAATCTAGAAAAATTAATTCCTGCTAAGAAGCTTTTTGCATACTCAAATAGAAAGCTGAGGATGCTCCCTTAATTATACCTAACTCAAGTATTGCAGCCCTTTCTTACCTACTGACATAAATAATCCTTTCATTCCCCTATGGTGTTCGGTCCCATGTCTACCTCAGGAGGGCTTCTTCACGTGTGTATACACCAGATCACTAGGCCTCTGTCATGGAGCACTTCAACATTCTTTAATTCACCAGTGGTCTATCTTCATCCTAGCTAAAACTCTACGGTAGATGAGGAGAAAATAAAAAAAAAAGCCCAAACAACAAACCCAGCAATCACTACTTTTTTTTTTTAACTTTTTTTCAGGTCTGTTCACTCTTCTGCAAGTGTGACTGAGGCCATGAAGTCTCTTGCTTCTGATTGCAGTGCCACAAATTTCAAAGCCATGCCAAAGGTATCTAAAAGGTAAGGGTTTTTTCGCTTGTTCTTAATAAATAATTTTGTTAAATAGCAAGACAGTATATATCCACATTAATATCAATCTAGATTTACTAGATCTTCATGATCTGCCACTAAATTTGGTAGCGGGGATGTGAACCAGTCGCACATCTTGCTTTGATTGCGGGCATTAACTCCTGTTCTCGTGGAGGTACAGGATTTGGTATTATAACTAAGCCAGTTTAAACCAAACCCCCAAAGAGCCCCAACCAAATAAATTGACAATCACTGCTTTGCATATTGAACAGTTAGGGTTTTCAGTTACTGTCATTCTCCATACACTACAGAGTTTGGTTTTTGGCAGAAGTCACCATCTGATGTGAGGGGGTGAAAAACTTAGTAACTTAAATGGGTCATGAAATCAGCAAGTGGCTTAGTTTCACCTTGGCCTGCTATAAATTTCAGAGGCTTGTTTCCATGCAGAAGATATCCAAATCTTACATTTTTTGAAGTAGAATAAGAACAATTTTATTATGAAAAATTTAAACATGACTGCCTTTCTATTAGTATGTTTGCTACTACTTGCATTTGCTTCATGCTTGAAAACTTCCTGCAGAGCATAGGAAGCTAACCTCAGAGTAATGTTCTCGTATTCTAGTGCTGGACTACAACAGACTGCCTCAAGAACTGTACCTACCAGTGGAAGAGTTCAAAGCATGTTACTAAGAAGTAAATCAGTACCCCAAGATAAAACTGTTCCGTTTGTAAACATTCCCCTGGCTGATGGACAGGTATTAAACCTTTTTTTTAAAAAACAAAAACAAAAACACTCAAAACAAAACAGAGGACAACAAACCAAAACATTTTCATTTTACAGTAGTTGATAAACTAACTCTGAGTAGTCTGATAGTGATAGCTCTTGCTATCCCTAAATGAGTGGCTGCTAAACAAAAGGAAAGATGGTTACTAAAGTTTTGCAATGTAGCAGGGAAGCACATGATTTTCAGAAAATCTGACCATGTATGTAGAAACTTTCAGAATAGTTTTTATCTTAACACTCTCTTCATGTTTAGACACTCTGTACGGCTGGTGGAGACCTCCATAATATTGATGTGCAACTACTAAATCAAGATACAGTACAGCATATTCATAACTTAGTGGTAAGCTTAAACTAGTAGGCTTGCATATATATTCAGACACCTAGTCTCAGGTTTTCATGTGAGATACTGTTAATGAATGCAAATTCTAAGTGCTTTAACTCTTCTGAAGTTAAACCTAAATTGGTTGGCATAAATTGGAGGGAGGGACAGGGAGGGGGAGAACTGCTGCACACAGATAATGTGTAAAAAGTAAATGTATTTAAATAAGCATGTGCGGTTTGGCAATTGCCTGGGGGACAACAGAAACATAAACTCTTCCTTCGAGCTTGCTCTGGTGTCTCTCTGACCATGTGAGCTAACTGCCATTCTCCATCTCATGTTTACAAAGGCTTACAAAGCTACAGCTAAGTTTTGATTCTTGTTGTAATCTATTATTCTGTGCCCCTTGCTGAGTAAGAACTATACGTTTGTTAATTCTCTGCTGCAATTGAACAGTAACAGCCTTACCTCTGGGTCAGAGAAGTAAATTATTTCGAAGCAGAATGAAGTTGAACAGAACTTTGTAGCCCATAGTGCCCGACTGCTGAAGATGTGAGGGTACCTGGGGTTTAGGATGAAGTAAAGTGCAGCACTAGAAATCTATCTAGACATAAGAAAGACTTATCAGTTTACAGTCTTGTAGGTATTTAGAATTGAATGCAGGTATAAAAGTTAAACTAAAGGTCTGGAAGCTGTTTTGTATTTTACAACGTGGATGTGCCTCCCTAGGTAGAGAATGGGGGAGTGCTTGCTTGCTGCTTGCTTTAGCAATAGTGACTTTTCTCTTTCTTCCAAGTTCTGTTGGGTAGATTGAACTAAAATGAATTTTCCCCCCCTTAGAGTGAGCTGACTGTACTATGTGGAAAGGCAACAGCTAAACTGAGTTAACGGAACTTGTGACTACAGAATATTTGTGACAGCTCTTTCTTGCTGCTTCAAAGTGTTTAGAGAATGTCTATGTCTTAATAAAGCTGTATACTGCTCAGTAAATGTTTTTTATGTAAAGCTTACAATGTGATGTGTATTATTAAATACCCGTTATCTCTGTGGAGGATACAAAAGCAGAAGAAAATAATTCTACTTTTCCAACTTTTTTATAAAAGGCTTAGTTAACATCTAACCTCAGTTCACAGTAAAATGAACAGCAATAGGTTCTATATAGGAAGTCAGTTTTAACTCTTATGTTCTAAATAGGACTTTTTTTTACGTAACTAACTATTCATAATTATAGGGCACTTTAATGTTGTTCTTCCATGCATGCCACAAGCAGAATGTAGTGTTGGTTTACTATTTATCTTTAGTCTCCCCAGTATCAATCTCCTTGAATCTAACTCTGGAATGAAGCTGAAGTGCAAGTTTCTAAATCCTTGAATAGCATTTTAAGGCATGTAACTTTAGTTCCATGGTGGCATATGTGAGCCTGACACAAGAATAAAACTTATTTCCAGTCTTGTGCTGTGACATGATAGTGATGTGCAAAATGACAGGTAGTAGCCCAGGTTTACTGTAATTTGCGGTGTCAACCCAATTTTTCCTGTAGTTATATACTTTTAACTTGTAGCAAAGGCTGTTAACATCTTTCTAGGTAAAGATGTCAGTCCACCAGTCACTCTGCCGTGGGTGCTCTAGTATTTTCAGAACTTGAGGGTGCACTTGGCTTTCACTCTGCCAGGGGTGATTTCAATTAAGGAGTTTTCACTGTGGTGAAGGATGGTATGAAGGACTCCTACACCCTTGAACTAAAATGTTTTAATTAAAAGAATGAAATCTAGATTAGTTTTTCCTCTGTTCTGCTTCCACTCTTCCTTAAGGAAGAAAAGGTCACAAGTTTCAAATACAGAAAACAAGAAAGGTTTCTAAGGCATAAGACAAAACTGGTAATGAACAGGAAGTTAAAACACTATCAAACCTAGATTAGAACTATGTTCTTACCTGGTAACCAGAAAATATGGGAATAAATCTCTCACTCGGATTGTACATGAAGCTTACAGAACATTCTTGAATAGTTAGTTCTGTAACTCAGTGGTTTAACATGAACTAACATCCATTTTACCTTAAATTGGTAAGATCATCCCATAATGTGGTATCAGCTTTTGATTACTGCAGGCAAATCATTCATGTTGAAATGTTCGGTAACTATCCACTCTCATACTACACTGAGGTAATCCAGATTGCACTGCAGTACTGAAACCTGCAGTTTCTTGAATTTTTGGAAAAGGTATAGCATTAGGCATGCTTTCAAAGACAGGCCAGCCCATCTCTGTTGTGGATCTCACTTGGGGTTTAGGGATGGTGGTGGTCATATTACAAAAATAGCTGCTAGTGTTTAATCCAGCCTGCTCTTGTTAAAGTGTTTTCTGAGTTGCAGTTTGGAGATTAGCTTTTCTTGTGACTAACAGGCTGCTACCAAGAGCTGGCAGGGGAGTTGGACCAGATGATCTCCAGAGGTCCCTTCCAACTCCTACTATTCTGTGATTCTGTGAAGTGTTTCTGGGCCGTGACACAAAGGACAAATTCACAGGGTGTACACTGTACTGAAGCACAAGGACTCTTCAATCAACTGAAATTATTCTTAGAAATTATAACCAAGCTAGGAAGCCTCCAGAACTCCAGTCTTCCTTTTAAATTTGGTAAGGAAGGCATATAATTTAGTGCCCCATACCTCCTTTACAGTGATTGTTTGAACTTCATACTTGCATCAGCCTAAGGCTACAGTGGAAGGTTATGAGTTACTAACTAAAATACAATTTTCCTATTACATCCTATTTAGAGGGCTGAGAAATTGCTCATATTAACAGGTAAGCCTTTGATGTTTCATTTTTTCAAACAGTAGTAATATTTCTTCTACTGATGTGTAGTTTTTCTACACTGCAACATTGTAAAGGGATACCCTCTTGCTAGAGCGCAAGATACATATAAGGGGAACTCAGAAGTCAATTTAGGCTGCTGTCAGGAGGTCAATTATTACAGTGTCAGGCCAGAAACAGAACTAGACTAATTCATGCTACATACTGTGATCAACTTCCTCTCCACCCCTTTATTTCAGTATGCTACCTGAAAAGTTACCATGAATCACTTCTGCTACCCCCCCCCCCCGCCCCCACAAAAAGCAGGTTGAAAGGAAGAAGATAACATTCTGTTTTCCAAGGAAGTAACTCCTAAAGCCACTGCTTAAGTAGAAGACAGGCATTTTAATTGTTTAAGCATTGCAGGTTAACATGACTGACTTCTTGGAGAAATGAATCAGGGGAAAGGATCAGTATGTAACCATGGCTTATGAAAACCACCCTGAAGTTTTAATAAATTAAAAAAAAATTCACTGGATGAGAATGCCCTAGAGCATAAGAAGTCAATACTGAAATACAGGTCAAACAGTATTTATTCTTCCTTCAGTTTTAGAGTCTGTAACAAGGATGTTCAGCAACACTCAAATGCCAATGCCTACCCAAGCACATGGAAACCCTTGGAGTCTGTCCCTCCAACCTCATGGTAAAGCATCAACAACTCTGAGCAATAATTAAACAACTTCACACTTCAGATTTCTAAAGAAAATTAGAGGCACATTTCAAATTCCTCATTTCAACAGGGAGAGAAACCTCACTATAAAGAAGCAGCTTACCAACCAAAGTTCACAGAGTTCCTTAACATTGTAACAAAATGCTTAGATAACTAACTGTACCTGATAATTGTTTAAGGTCACATTTTTGCTTTGTTGTGGTATTTTTACCAATTAAAAGCATATAAAAAGGAACATAACTGAAGCTGGAGAACTTAATGGCTTAACAGTAAAACAGAAAGTGCAAACTACTGGAAAAGTAACAAAACCATCTACATTTAGTATGTTTCCAGGTCAAAAATTTGTCAAGTACAATACTAATCTCAATCTCTTTACAAACTGTGTTAATGCAATCACAAGTTGCCAGGTATGTTTATTTTTACAGTTCTTTTTAAAACTGGAAGCTTCTCTATTAGAAGTCAGGCTGAATCAGGCTTTGAATTGGATTTAAAGGCTAAGAGAAGATGCCATTGAGATTTAATCATCTTCATTTAAAAGGTTTTGTTATCTTCTGATCAAATTCACATATCCTTGTGTTTTCTTCATACAAAGGGGACATGGCTGCAGCCTTCCCCATGCCACTTTAGTCATCTCTTATTTCAAGAAAAAACTTTCACATGTGGCACACAATTGTTACCTAACTGCAACCTAGTCTTAAAGCAGCTTCAGCCTCCCTGTGTTTATAAAATGTCTACCAACTACACAGAATAGTTAAAGCCACTGGAAAAGTAAGAGTTACAAGGCAAAAGAAATACATTATACACCAACTGCTTTTATTTAATTTCAGAAACCGTTCACAAGATGGTAGAAAAAACTTACAACCACTTCTAATTTAGTCTTCCATTGTTCCCAGTCAGCTCTAAACCCATGATGTGCAAAGCCCATTTACCATGCATCTAGATGATAGATACAGGCTATGAAATTCTTTATTCTACTTGTAGCAGCTTATGCAGGTGCAGCCAAACACCAAGCCTCAGGACAAATTGTACACAAACTTTACAATGTAGAATTTGAATTTAAAATATGAAACTTAAAATCTACACAAAACTGGTAAAAATCAAGCACAGATACGAGGACAAACTTAAAACCCATGTGAAAAGGAGTCTTGTCTTCCTTTCAAGTGCTTTATTCTGCTACACAGTCAAAATGAAGATGTAAGCTTGTGGTTAGTTTAAATTACACTCTGTAGATACTATAGACCAATTTAAAAGTTACACATACAGCAATAGATGTCCATTGGTTCATCTGGATTACTTATACAATCCAGCTGGATTGTTGAAAACAGGTCAGGCAAAATTTGAAAGAAAATCCTTGTGCAACTTTTTAGACAAACGTTTACTGATGGGCACACTGTACCCCAGGTCCATGATGGCTGCTTTCTTCATCAGAACTATCGTTATAAGCTTCACGTCTCTGGCCACCACCTGAACCACGAGTGGTATCAAATTCCTGAAGATCTACCTCTTCTGCATCACCAATTACATTGGGAAATTCTGGTCTAGCTGGCAGAAGATCTTCAAGTTCCTGCCCCCAAAAAAAAGAAGTGTATTCAGTACTACATCTACAACTCCTAAACAAAGTGACCAGTTTCCCACAACTTCAAAACTCCCTCTCAGAGCAGGTTTGGTTTAGAGGTCTAAGCTGATGTAAACCCAGAAGTGCATACTCATTTAGAAGTACCCAGGGTATTTGCATCAACTGGGAGACACCAGTTAAAGAAAACCAACAGCTGCACCTATCAACCAAAAGTGCAATCAGTAAACACAGTTGCACTCTGGAAACTTATCACACAGCAGCAGGAAGATTCTTCCTCCTGCCTTCACCTGCCCAACATCCACACAGCTCTTAAATACACATCCAATAAATTTGTATTCCAATGGGTATTTTCAAGTTACATGTTGCCCGTAAACGTTAAAAAAACAACTGTACTTGCATCTAAATTTAAGCACTGTAAGCAAGCATGTGAAGTACAACACGCACTTTGCATACGCTGTCAAATAAGACCACCACATTTATGCTTGAAAAACTACTCACTGAAAGCTTTTCTGGGCTAATCCAGTTATTTTCAGGAAACTGAACGTCAAATTTAATGTAAAGATCCCCCTTCTCAAAAGGATTGCGATACTGTGGCATTCCTTCACCTCTGACTACACGAACACAACCTGTAATTCAAAGAGAAGCAAGCTGGAGAGTGCTACTTCTAAAACAAATATTTCTCTATGCAATTTCTCTAGCCTAGGTTTAGTTAACAGGACAACACAAATGGGATTAAGTGTTCAAGAATCACAAAAGCATATTCGAAGAAGCTTACCTGGTTCAATTACTTTTCCAGGAGGATATTTAACCACGATCTGACGTCCATCAAGGTGCTTAAATGTGAACTGAAATCCACACAGTGCTTCAACCAGTCCAATCTTGTGCGTCATATGCAAGTCATTGCCATCCCGCTGGAA